CGGGCCGTGAGGCGGCTGCTCGGTTCGCTTCACGTGTTTCGCACTGGAAGGCCAGTGCCGGAATTGGTTGTGGACGGAATAGCGTGGTTTCTTTCATACAGTGATCACGGCGGTAGCTGTTACTCTGACAGCCGCCTGGCTGAGGTCCAAGGAAGGTCCAATGCGTTAGAACATCAAGAAAATGTGTGATTTCTTTTCCAGGCCGTTATTGCTATTCAGAGAGGAAATTTAGCGACTTTGCTACTCTGTCATGACTCTACCAAGGGCTATTCATTGCAGACCAGTAGCAGTCATCAAAGTACTTTGCAGCCCTGTGTGAGTGTTCAGCCTAAATCCCACAGTCAGTCCTTGAGTGGTGCGGTGCCAGAAAAAATGAAGCTTTTTGTTACCTGCACAAAAAGCCTCAGCCCTTGGCCAGCCCCCACAAGGAACTGTGATGAACAAGTAGAGGTTGTGTAGATACCTGGCCTTTTTTCCACCAACGGTTGCTCTGCTCTTCAACTTTCCCAGCTGTTTGGGGTGGAGCACGGAGGTGACGCTGGCATGCAGGGCTCGGGCAGAGCTCATTTTTTATCAGCTCTGCCTCTGCTGTGGGGAGAGGTCAGGGACGCTTCCTCTTTCTGGTTACACTAGCCTCTCCTCGTAGTGCATTTCCCAGCCTTGATCCCACATGTTGGAGGTTAGAGGGCTTGTCCAGTCTGTGAGAGCCCAAGTGCAGTTCTCCTCTCTGATGGAGTGGAGTCGAGACCATCGTCTTCTTCCTGAGTGCCAGGGACTGAAGTATTCTTGAAGTGTGGAAGGTTGAGAGCTCTTGGTGTAGTGAAACTCAAAAACTTCTGGGAGCTAGAAATGGGGTCTAGGTCCATGGTCTTGTGTGTGTAGGGCCTGGTAAGGTCGCTGTGATAAGGCACTTCTCCAAATGCCTTGTTTATGCGCCCTGTTGCTGTTCAGGTATTAGGAATCTAGCTCGGCATCCAGCAGCTCTGCACTAGAGGCCAACTCTAAACCGTCAAGACATAGTAAGGTCTTTATTATCAGGTACGTATTTATGTGTCAGAAGAACTTTGTTGCAAGAGATCGAGGTGTCTGGGGACACAGGCGTTGCCAGCGGTAGGTGGAAGCTGAGCAGTAGTTTTGAAGACCTGTATTTTGGACTGGGGCACCACGTTTCTCATGCGAGTCCAGCCCCCAGTAGAGCAATGGCTCTTTGCTAGAGGGTCTCTTGAAGATACCACCCAAGACAAAGGGCTTCAGTGGAGAAGGCCAGGGGTGTGGTCTCTCCTCTCACTATTGGACTATTTGTTTGTGCCCCTGCACTGATGCCTTTGGGATCATGACCAGTGTTTCCACTTTGTGGCTCTATCCTGGTTTTGGCTGGTGTGTTTTGGATTTAGTATGAGAAGAATGTTGGTAATACACTGATGGCTTTAGCTGTGGCTAAGAAATCAAGGACCTTTTTTCAGTTTCCCATGTTTGGCTAAAGAGCAGGTGTGCAGGAGCTGGGAGGGAGCACAGCCAGGCAGCCAGCCCAGGCTGGCCAGTGGAAATACTCCGTACCACAGATGTCATGCTCAGCATATAAACAGGGGCTGGCTGGGGGGCGGGATCTTTTTCTAGGAGTTTGACTTTTCTGTGAGTTCTGCGAGCTCCGTGACATCTGCGAGTTCTGCAGTCGCTGCTTGGGGACTGTCTGCGCAACCGGTTGTTGGGCGGTGAGAGAAACTGTGCTGTGTGTCGCTTGTTTTGCATAGTCTTTCTTCTTACTATTATTCCTTCCTTTGTTGTCTTATTAAGCTGTCTTCATCTCAGCCCACAAGTTTTAGCTTTTGTCCATTTCTCCTTCCCACCCCACTGTGGGGGGAAAGAGGGGAGTGAGCGAGCGGCTGTCTGGTGCTTTGTTGCCAGCTGCCAGGTTAAACCATGACAGGCTGAATTACGTACTGTGAAGTCTATGCAAGAATAAATAAGCCTGCCTGTAAACACAGAAAACCTTGGCTTAACGTTGAAGCGCTCTTTTAGGTCTGTGGCTTTGCTTATTAAAACTGCTTCATTCTTCTGGGACCCATTAGTGATAAGAGTACAGCGTTAGCTCTGTTTCCAGCCCCAGGCAAGCTCACATCAGCTGCCAAGTTCGTACTATGGCGTGTGACTGCACTTGCCAGTGAAATCTGAAAGGGTGAAGTGTTTCATCCCAGTGCCATCACCCGGTGGGCTGACTTCAACCCCCTGCTGCTGGGGGCACTGACCAGGCCTTATCTGCTCAACAGAGGTCATGGTCTCGTTTGCTTGGTTTTGATTTTAAAGTTAATTTTTCAGAGCCAAGAGGCTATAAATCCCTGTTACAGTTTAACTGTCGTTCATAAAATGGGAATGGGTCTTGAAGTCGGTTCGCATTCTCCATAATGGATATATTGTGATTTGGCTAATAGAAGTCAGCAGGCCTGGGGAAATATATGCTGGAATATGTATTGCCGTTATAAGCTCGTATTTGTAAAGGCACAGCAGCATGGGGCTCTGAAATGTCGTCGTAAGAGAGGTGAAGACAATGCTGGTGTCTCTGCGTTGGTCTTGAGGAGCAACTGATTTGGCGTAGTACATTTTCAAGCCTGGTATGGCACGGATGCTGTCACAAAATCCAGCACCCGCTGAAGAGATTTCATTGCTACTAGGTTAAAAATGTATTTATTCAGAAATACCCTGCAATTCTGTTTTGGTTGTAAAACTCATGAGCTCTAATAGTTTTAGTGATACGTATATGATTTAGTAGATGCTTACTACATTCTCTCGTGATTCTTTCTTGAATTGCTGCATATTCTTCTGGTAGTGCGTACCACTTCTTTATTTTCTTTGCTCCAGAGGAAATGTGGTTGCATCAAGCCCAGGTATCTAGGTCTTGATTGCCCTTCTGCTTCACGTTCATCCAACTGTAGTTCGTAGTTTGGAGTGGAACATTTTAAATGCCAATTTAAAACATGCTTTCTGTGAGATCATCTTCTTGAATTTATCAGGAAACAAGAACTCTGAAATCATGGCCGGGAAACCCAAGCTGCACTATAGCAAGGGAAGGGGAAGGATGGAATCAATCCGCTGGCTGTTAGCAGCAGCTGGGGTTGAGGTCTGTATCTTTTTTTTTTTTTTTTTAATAAAATGATGAGATTAACCTGTGATTAAAATAAGTAGTCTTTGGAAAGGTTTGCCAATTACACCTGAGCTTAGAGACATGCACAACATCTCACCTTGTGATGCAGAACACTTAGATTCAGCGAGGCACTCTGTTATGTTTTATTTATTTAACGTGTTCCTTGAGCAACAGTTGCCCAGTAAAAGGACTTTGACATACAAAGAGAATTGTTAAGTGCCGTTTTTGAAACATACTTCAGGATGATGAGGTCTTAAATTGTTGCTACAGACCAAAACTTAGTATCGTTGGCTTTTTCTGAATGCTCGTGACTTCTCTGTGTCTCATGATTGTTCTCCACTGGAAGACCACATGTACCACATGAAAAACTTTAGAACGTTATCTCCAAACGAAGTGCTTTTTGTTCTTTGGGTCAGGATCTGAGTAGGATAAATCAGCAAAGCTACCCGGAAGGCGGAGGGGGAGATATCTCGATTCACATCAGATGAAAACTGCCCTAGGGCATCTTAATTTCTACATGCAATTTTTGCTTGAATACAGTACTTTGAAACTGTTTTCTGAGAAACTATTTGAATAGTTTTTGAATAGCATTGGAAATAAAAGCCTGTTTTAATGGTGCTTACTTGTGAATGTTGCTGACAGAGAAGCTGGAGAGCACGAGTGCTGAGGAAAAAAAAGATCTTGCCCTCATTCAAATCTCCTCATTTAAAAAAAATTGCCAGCAGGGGGAAAGAGGGGGATAAATGCTTTTTAACATTTAACATTAAAAATCTCTGAATATCTCATGTGGCATCAAGTGCTTTTAAGTGAATGATTTGGTGTCTGGTAATTGTGCAGGCACATAGACTGGTCTTTGTAATGAAGGAAGCTGTTTCGGAAGTGTAAAGCATTGTACATTAGTGTGGGGTTGGGGACACTGTAGGGATGGAAGAGTAGGAGTAGGGGATCAACACAATCGTGAGAAGTATGGGAATAGTGTGGAGAGGTGGAGTCTAACTTCCAGACTCTACTTCCCCATTGCCTTTCAGGTGGCACAGCGGTGGTTTCTATCTTTGCTTTTCAGTTTGAGGAAGAATTCATAGAAACGAAGGAAGACCTAGAAAAGTTACGCAATGGTGAGTCTGTAAAGTGTGCTCTGAACATAAATTCACACCAATATAACAAAGGTGAGATTTTTGTAGGACCTCGAGTGCAGTGTGGCCTGCAAAGAGAAGATTCGAGAGACCTGCGTGCTTGCAAATGCTTTCATCCCTCAGAACTGGAGATGTCGTGATGTGTTACCAGGTGTCTCTCTCTCAGATTCAGTGTAGTACTGCAGCAGTCTGAGTAGTTTGCTTGTTGTTGTTCCCTAGATGGAGTCCTGCTGTTCCAGCAAGTGCCCATGGTGGAGATCGATGGGATGAAGATGGTGCAGACCAGAGCCATCCTCAGCTACATTGCAGGAAAGTACAACCTGTATGGAAAAGACCTGAAGGAGAGAGCCTGGTACGGTAACAGTGCATACCATCCCTACTATACTATTCCATGATATTTAATATCCGTGAGAAGAATATTACTGTGAAATATCTGCATGTAAAGGTGCATGTACATCTGCTAGTGCTTTGTCTCCTTGGATCCAGGGACTAGGCAAATGGACTTTGTAATTGATAAATGATTGTTGATTGTCAACATAGTGAGAATGTTATGGCCACCTTCAGGCTCTTTTAATTTCCCAGAGACCAGAATTGCATGAAGTTCCTGGGCAACAGCAGGACCTTAATACAATGATAAAGGCTAAGTATGCCTTTTTTTTTTTCCTCTTTAGATGGGAAAACAGTAGTAAAAACTACAGCTGCCTGCAAAAATGAAGTGTCTTGAAGTGTTCTATTTTCCTTTCTTCAAAACGTAAAGAGTCTTTCACAGCTGATTTAAAAAAAGACATGTTCGGTACCTTAGTGCTACTGAAAGCTAAACCAGTACTTTGCTAATAATACCTTACTAGGTAAGCTGTGGATACTTTCCATTGTCGTAACTAAAGGGCTAATGCAAAAGCAAGAATCCTTATTTACTTTTTCCTTAAAAAAAAAAAAGGTCAGGCAAAATTTGAATGAAGTCCTTAACCTAACTGACTACCACTTACTGTAAAGGTTTTGTCCTGTGATAATGAAGGGGCAACTCCAGAGGTTGTGGGGATTATTATGGACTGGCAATTGGCAGCCATTTGTTGCCAGGATCCTTTCATGATTAGACCTCAAAACTATTCTAGGGTGGTTTGTGTCTGTGGTCTTTTGTTCCCCAGCATAGATGAATAGATTATCAGTGGAAAACGGTGTGAACTCAATTTTAAATACATTAGCTGCAGACTCTTGTTTACATACCTTGTTGCAGACACTGTGAGCCTGTTTATAAAGATCTCTGCTTTGAAAACAGTGACCTGGAATCAAAGTGGAAGAACAAGGAAACAGACTTGTGTCTTATGTTACTTTCACTAATGAGCATTTTACTCAGTGCTGCCTTCAGCATTGTATTTCAGGAAAATAACCAAAACAGAATGTTTAAATTGTAAAAGTGAAATAAAAATACTTGTTTCAGGATTGATATGTACGTGGAAGGAACAACAGACCTGATGGGAGTGATCATGCATCTCCCTTTTCAACCAGCTGACACAAAAGAAAAAAATCTTGCCTTAATCATTGAACGAGCTGCAACCAGGTACTTTCCTGTTTATGAAAAGGTAAGTGATAAATCACCAGTCGTCCACAAAGACAGTAAAGTGGGGCGCAGGTTCCCCTCCACCCTACTCCCCAGGGCCCGCACACCTACTCTCCAGAGGGCAAGGGACAGTAGAACTCTGGAGCTGCATGGTGGAGGCAGTATTCAGCAGTGTGAAAAGAGGGCCACAAAATAATATTTGGCTGGTTCCAGTACTGTATATCTTTGCTGTCTTCTTTAAGACTCCTCAAAGAGCAAATCCTACTTTTTACACCTAGCTTAGTGGCTGATAGCTCCTAGCATTTTGCAGAAGTGCACCATTGAAATACCTGTGCCAGCTTTCAGTATTATTGCCTGAAAACGTAATATACTCTTGCTGTTCAAATTTAAATATAATTGTGCTTTATAATTAAGGACCTAATTCTGTGATCTTTCTCAAACTCGCTGCTTAAATATATTTATACTTAGCAGAGTATTACTGTCTTTTTCGGAATCGCTATTTGGGCGTCCTTAGGTGTGCACAAAGAGGCTCTGCAAACAGAATGTATCTAGCTTGAAAAAATAAAGCAATTATTTACTGGCTAGTGTGCACTAAAGAGTTAGCCTTTAATGAGCGATGAAGGAAAGCACTGGGATGCTTGCCACCCCCAGAGAGTGCTTCAAGAGTCTTGCTTGGCTAGGCAAGAGGTGTTCCGCAGGGGGCGGGCAACTCCCTGGAACATAGCCTGAATGTTACTGAGTTGCCATTTTCTACCAACTTGCTGGTTTTCCTGTTATGTTGGTTTGGTTTTCCCTTTAGGACATTTTCATTTTTTTTGCTGTTAATATTTTCCTGTTTGAATTGAGCCAGCTGTGATCGTCATCTCACTATCCTACTTCTGTTTGTAACTTTACCTTTTGTACCTTGTATGACCGTACTGTACAGACTTTCTGACAGCGCTTTTCCAGAGCGTAGCCGTCTCCGCGAGGTCTGTGCCAGGGGTACAAAGCTGTGTTGTTTCAGAGCTGAGCCAGGCTTCTAGCTTGAATCCTTAGTTCACAGGCAGCTGAAGTCCATGCAGAAAATACAGGACTTGATACAATTTCATGTGCCTCTTTACCAGAACCTTAAATCGCAAAAGTGAAACCCAGAGAGGCTGCCCTGTGAAAAAGAGAATGCCCATAAATGACATAAACCAGCGCTCCTGTAACCAGAGTTCATACAGATTCACTGCCATACCAATGGAAGGCTGTGCTGAGAGAGATTGATTGCACACATCCATCAAAGATTTGAAGTCTGATAACGTCAATATTTAAGTTATTAAAAAATAAAAAAGCAAATTTAGACACCAGTATTCTGTGAACCTGTGCCTAGGTGGCATAAACTACTGCTATAATATGTTTTAGTGTGTATGCTCACTGGAGGAAAGTCTTTAAAATAATCCTTGTTCACTTATGGCAAAGACACAGCTAAGCTTTTCCATGATTTTTAGCCTAGTTAATTTTTGTTAGAATGATGAATAATTTTCCTTCTGTACCAGCTGTTTAAGTCATCCATTGATTCAGCCTTGCAGGGTTTGCAGTCCACGTGCTACGCAATTCTGACAGAAAATATCCCTGGCTGTGAGTGTTCGCTTTAAACACTCGGCAGGCAGATAGAGGCACAAGGTAATGTAAAGCACTGCAGGCAGTCTGGTTCCGATGCTCTGTTTGGGAGTTTCCGTACGGCTGTGGTGGACCTCGTTGGAGCAGTACAGGGAATAACTACGTGAAGGTATCGGCTGTTAAGGGAGAAGCCGCTGCCCGAGTGTTCACACCCCATTCTAGGAGTCGCGCGCACGCCAACCGAGACGTCAACCGCGAGGACTGGAGTACCTTTGCATCAGGCGGCTCCCAGGTGCCGAATGGTGCCCCTTTTCACCTTCAGCTACCTGGTGCAGTAGATTAGAGCAAGTGATAGGTGCACGCACACTGAAACATGAGTTCTGATCTAATTTTTTGTTGTGAGAATACCTGTAACTTTCTGAGGTTCTAGATTCTTGCATGGATTAGCTCCGCTGTGTATTTTTGGAGCAATCCGTCTGTAATTAAATATCTAGATAAAATTGTTACATCC